ATATAACCGCAGACAAACAAACGCCACATACACACACACAATCCAAATATAACCGCAGACAAACAAACGCCACATACACACACACACACATACACACACACACACGCACACTTGCAACAAACAAACACACAAACACTTACAACAAACACACATACACTTACAACAAACACACACGCACGCACACACACGCACACACACATACACTCGCGTGTATAACATACAATAATAACCAAGTGCTTGTGGTTTAATTATTGTTCATTAATATCATTAATCATTTAATATTGTTTTGTTTTTTGTTTTCATTTAAATTATGAATAGTCATAACTTCTTCATAACTTATTATATTACTAGAAAAAAGACGACTAATTAAACGAAATTTTTGAATGCTTTTCAACTATGCTTTCTTTAAATTGAAATTTTCTTAAAAATTCCGAATATGTGACTTTGAAAAATTTTATTTTTCTCATTTCAATTCAAAGTTCTTAGGAGCTATTATATATTATGTTGTTACCTACATACCCCTACCACAACAGCCATGCATATGATAATAAGTTTTGGTAATAGATATAGAATAGTAACAATTGTATTGTATTTTATTTTTCAAAAACATCATCAATACAAATGATACAAAAAGACATTTTATGCTATGATTTACAGTAACAATTTGCTAAAATCAGGGTTATGTAAACATGGGAGAACCCCGAAAAGTATTGCGAAAAATATTTTAAAAGTCTTCACAGCATTTCCTGATCGCAATCAATACCAACACTCCATCCCAGAACATTCGCTCTGTTTGCTCCTGCTAAATATTTGATTTCGTTTTCAATTTTCACATTCGAACTTTGACATCTTTGGTATCGAATAATTTTCTCTAAATTTTTTTCAACTTTTATTTTAGTTTTGATTTATTTTGTTCTGTTAGGTTCTATTAGGGTTGAACTATGTTTCAAAGTATTCAATTGAGTTCAATAAAGTGAAACTTTGCCTCTTAACGTGAAAATGTTAACAAATGAAGAAGATTTTTGTTACAGCGTGTCTAGTTTTAAAACTAAAATTAATTTTTATTGTAGCTAGGTGATTTTTTTTTATCGAAAATTAGATATTCACCTTGGAATGTTGAAAAATGTTTCAATTTTTTTCAGCTGGATCATCCATTTCAACAATTCTATTTTAAATCGGAGGCTGTTGTCAAAAAAAAATTTCACATGTTTATATCGTAGCATTCATTATGGCTATCCTTTTCGCTGAAGAGTTACACAACCATTCAAGATTTAAATTAAAAGTTAACCTTGTAAAAGTAGCTTGGAGCGCAGACATCAAATAATGTTATATATATTTGCAATTATGCATACGTATATAAAAGTGAAAGTTGTTGCAACAGTTCAACGATCAACACAAGACTCCTCACTTTGAAAGAATGTCTGACACTGAAAATAAAAATATCCGAAGAATGAAAACAAACATGCAGAACTGAACTACAACCTTTGAAAGTTGCAGGTACTGGAGTGATAATAAGTGATGTTAACGTAGAATCAAGATAGGGTAATGTGCTGTGGAATGATTACTCTTTCATGAAACCTCTAAAAATAAAATATGATACAAATTGAAAGTGAGCAAAGATTTTCTGCGAGGTTAAATGCATTTGCGTGATTATTGCTAAAGCATGTGTTAGTTTTTGTGTTCACAGTGCCATTTAGGACAGGTTCAAGTAAACGTAGCCATCCACGTGTTAAACTCGTGTGTCTTTTTGACTGGGACAGTTTTGACTGATAGTTTGTACGATGTTTGAACTTTTGTTTGAAATAGGTCAACAAAGGTTATTGTGCCGTATAACCGTATTTTCGTCCTTGTCAGTTTTATCATCAGAGAATCTGGGAAAAACTGTGTTTGATCAAATATGAAAAGATCTCCAGGTTATAGTCGGAACAAACACATAACAAGTGTTTTCCTGTCTCAGTTGTAGAGTGCAAAGTTTTTGTAACATAATCTCTGCAATTGTGGATGAGTGCATGCTCATAAAGAAAAGTAATTTAAAATCTGCTTTAAAAATTTTCGTGAGCCAACAATAAAAAAATATTAAACACCGTAGTGAAATTAAATTGTTCGAGCTGTGTGTTACATACGGATGTACAATCAGTGCTCGCATCGCATTTATATTTAAATGGTTTCTTTTTAAACATAGTTAGGTGTATTTTATTAGATTGCATAATAAGTAAATCGTTGGACTTAAACTTTCAACAAACTTCTTCAAAAATATATCTTATTTTCATTTAGACAAACTCCATTGTTTCTAGCCTTCAAAATTTAAACGAGAAGCATAACATTGCGTATCCAATAGAAGCGCATCGCGAATACAAAATATACAGCCTTACTGTGTGCAGTGCACACCATCTTTCAATCAAACTGGAAGGTAGGTTTGATGGAAGGTGCTTGATATGGAAGATGAGACAGGCTGTCCCATCCATGCAGTTAATTATAAATTGAATTAGAACGAAGCTTTTGATGCGTCCGTGTATAAGAAAGTTGCAATATTAATGACTTTTTAGTTTGATCATTTGCGACTTACCAACTTGTTCATTCATTAGAATTTTTATTTCGGTAGAGTTGCCGATGTAGCTCTAACTTTCAAACAAATCTGGTTACATCGTTTTTCAATACCGTTTTTCAATACAGTTTATAGTTTAATTTTTCTAAATTTCGTGCCATTTCCTAGTCGTTCCATTCTAAATATTTGTTTTCTATATTTTAAATAAATGTAGAACCAATTCAGCTTTAATTTTTTTAATTTTCGACAGTTATTTTTTAGACCCAAGTTCCCGCTTTGTTTATTTGAACATTTTACCCACACCAACGTCTGGTTGAATTAATGTTTTATACCATTTGGTCATTCATTTATTCTCAACCACCAAACAGCAAGCGATGGACGAACAATTCAATTTGTAAATATTGCATAAAAGATAATTTTAGCACAACGACAAATTTAGAACTTGTTTCAATAAATATTTCCCTTGACGCAAACGAATTTTTTGAACTGTTTTCCAATATTTCAACTATGGACTTGGTAAGCATATCCCAATTTGAGAATTTGAAATAGTAAATTTTTTTCTACAGATAAAATTCTCAATCAGAATTTCAAAACGTGAGTTTAATTATTTACTTAAAACAAAAATAAAAGAATTTTTCGAACCAAAATTTTTACCAGCGTCTAACAAATGCACAAGGCCCGCGTTTCAAAGGTTTCTAACGAAGAAATGATAACCCAGAGAGAGTAGATGATCGCTCAAAGCAGACAGGCATGCAACAGATATGAACATTTTCTGCTCGGCATGCCATTTCTTTAGTAGGCGATTTTTGTCGTTCCTAATCTGAAAATTTTTCACTATTTTTTTCTAGATTAGCTGCAGTTTCATTTACTGTAGCTTAAATTTTTTTTTCCAATAAGAAACTACTCGATGTAAATTATTTTTGAAAACTATGTATCAAAATTTTTTCAACAAACGTGGTTTGATTAAGCCCAAAACTGCTGTTGGAAAAAGTTTGTTTTGAAAATTTGGTGAATGTTAATTGGAGATTTTATTTTTTCGGTTTATCCGTTTCTTGTTGTTAGTTGTTATTATTCTTATTTCCGGGTGTATTCCAGTAAAGTTTTTTTAATTTTTTTTTTGGAAAAATTTATCGTCCAATTGAAAAATTGTAATGCTCTTATTACGTGATATTACCTTATTTCAAATAAACCAGCCAGCCAACCAACTACTTCTTACCCAACTAACAGACCAATTTAAACCCATCCAAAAAAACATCCACCTACCAACCAATCACCAAACCTACTAATCAATCAACCAATCAACCAACCAACCACCCAATCCACCCCCCAACTAGGCCATCTTCAAAATGGTAGGACCGTCTTTATCCCTGAACGACCCCAGTGACACTCCCGACCGACGGACGAAAGAGATTTTTGAAAAGATGGACGAAAATGGAGATGGAGTCCTATCGAAGGAAGAGTTCGTGAAAGGCTGTATGGCTGATGAATTCCTTTACCAGATGCTGACAGCTGACACTTCGGGGTCACAGCCCTGATGGGGTCAAGATAGAAAAGGGGTGGCAACGGGCGTGATGATATATCTAAGATGATAATAATGAGTGATGATGGTATATTTAGGATGATGATATTTATGTTTGTATCATTGATGTTACTAGCTGTATTGTTGGTGATGATGATACATTTGTGATGATACATTTAGCATGATATTAACAATAGTAATTAGGATAATAATGATAATACCTGTGCTGGTGACGATGATATTTAAGATGGTAGTATTGATGACAGGCAGATTAATATTGATGATGTTTGCTGTCTGTATTTGTGGCAATGACATATTTGTAATGGTATTTATGTTGATATGTATAAATGATACAAATGATACAGATTATTCGATACAATCAACAATAATGATACAGTATGTATAAACGGTAAAAAATATTTTGGTGATAATAACATGACGCTCTTGATACTCATGACAAAAATTGCTGATCGGGTGATCTGATAATCATGGGCTATGATATAACTGACGTTGTTGTTGTTGTTGTTGATTATTATGATTATGATGATGATGATGAAGAAGAAGAAGATGGTGATGATGATGAGGTTATACCCCTATTGCATATGTAAATTTTAATAATGGTGATACTGATGATTGTAATTTTGGAAAATGGCAGACTATTACGAATGGTTGCATAATAAAGCTGACGAGTGTAATGATATTCCTAGCATTTGTGGGAATCATAGATTGGATAATGATGAAAATGTTAGCAAAGATGATGATGACGATGATGATGAAGAAGGTGATTAAGATGAAAAAGGTGATTAAGATGAAAAAGAAAAAGATGATGACGATGATGATTAGGATGAAAATGAAAAAGATGATGACAATCATGATGTCGATGAAGATGAAGATGATGATGACGACAACGATGAAAAGGAGATTAACGATGAAGACAATGAAGAAGAAGAAGATGATGATGAAGAAGATGGTGATGAAAATGGTGTTGAAGATGATGATGAAGATGACGATGAAGATGATGATGAAGATGGTGATGTAGAAGATGACGATGAAGTTGATAAAGAATATGAAAGTTGCAATAATGACAATGATAAAAATTACTTCAAGTCCAACGGCTCCCGTGATTAGCATGGTAATGGCGTCATTTGTTAGGAGGAGGAAAAAGTTTTTAGAAGAAGAAAAAATGATGGCCCGTTGAAATTCCCTGAATTAATTATTCCACTCTTGAAATGACTTTTTGTGTCTAAATAAAGAGTTGTTCCAATCATCAAGTTGACCAAATTATTGAGAGATGTCGCCGAAGAAAAATAAATTTTTTTCAAACATTTTTAGTTGCCGTTGTGTTGAAAATAAAATTCTTATGATTATCACGTTTAAGCTGTTTGCGAAAATTTCAAAGGAAATACATTCAAGGTTGAGTGAATGAGGATGGTGATGATAACGACGACGATGAAGAAAGATGTTGATAGAGATGATGATAGTGATAATAATGATAATGATGATGGTGATGATGATGATGAAGGTGTTGATTATTGTCGCAGTACGGATGACTCTTGCGATCCTTTGAAATTTTGAAATCTTGAAAATGAGCATGATAATAATGATATTCATAGTAATGAAGATGATGTTGATGATGATGACAACGAGATGATGATGATGACAACGAGATGATGATGATGACAACGAGATGATGATGATGACAATGAGATGATGATGAAGACGATAGATGATGATGACGACGAAATGGCGATCTTATTTTAAAGGTCAAGGATGAATACGCTGATGATGAGAACGCTGAAGACGAAGTTGATAAAGATTATGATAGTGATAATAACGATGATAGTGATAATAATGATGCTGCTGATGATGACGACGACGACGATGATGAAGAAGTATCAACTTCTTAGTGATAGTGATAACAGTGATGAAGGTGGTGATAATGATAATGATGGTGATAATGATGGTGATGATGATGACGAAATTGGGATTTCATTCCAATGGCAGAGGTAGATTCCTTATGCG